ATTGGTGTTGTAATTTATGATTTTTGTTCATTGGTTTTTACCGACATCTGAAATTTTGATGACCTGCGAACAATTTCAAGATACCTAATGTAGCCCTCTAAATATATCAATTTGTTACACCTGCTACAAATTGTCAAGATATTTTTAGTTACCTACGCGTAATATCAAAAGTACAATAAGTATATTTTGGATTCTGAGCAAGTTGATGAATGTATTTCGTTATTTGTCATACGATGATGATGTGTATATTTGATTGTCAGAAACGGTAGTTGTAACATTTTTTTGGATTGTCAATATAATTTTTTTAGTAATAGAAAATATATTAACCAMAGATATTTTTAGTTTTCACCATATATTTATTCTAGAGTTAATTTAATTTTCAAAATATTTTGGTCCTTATTTTGTTTTTATTAATATTTTGTCGTAGTTTAAAAAATATTATTATTGTATGTAGTCTGTCAATTAACCTTCAATCGGAATGATTTTAAAAATTGATAGATTACCATTGCTTTTAAARTTCACAATAATTATTCATCATACTTTAGTATTGAAKTTGGTAATTTAAAACAATTTACTACAATACCCTGTTGTAGTTATTATGTCCTGTCAGCTATTAATAATAAATTGTTTTCATATATGTCGGRAGTGGCTAACTTGAGGCTCACRTCATAGTCATATGTGACTAGCCATCTTATTAATTAAAAAACCAATATTTACTTATTAACGATAAAATATGATAAAATAATTTTTTTTTTWACATTTTGGCTCTTGATATCATTGTATTTTTTGTTCATGTGGCACTGTGGACGTATTTATGTTGGCCATCCTTGGTCGTATAATGTGTTATAAAAAATATCACACGGCGTACCGTATAGGCAATAGAGGTACATAACTGCGCTGTAGAACAACTACGTTCTATAAACGTAATAATAATACATTATTATACTTAAATTACTGTACTGTTTGATTTATTGATATATTGAAAATTTATTAACTGATTTTAAAATATCATGAGAAAGAAAATAAGTGCTATAAAATCAGAAATTTATTCATTAGGCACGTAACAAACAGATGTCTTTCACTGAAATTTACRAACAATAAATAATAATTAATCTATAGTTATAAAGCTGATTACAGTGAATGTAAAACAAACTCGCAGTACTAATTTCYAAACTAAACTGTATTGGTACTTTTTCACGTGTRTCTTGAGAWTAACGGTTTTTCTTCGGTATTTGATGTGATTTACTGTTTTAAAATTGACCATAATTATTGTAATGTTATTTTAAAAAATCGTTCTATAACGTTTAAGTGAACATTCTTTGTCTTTAGCAAAAAATKATGATGCAGCGCACTCTGAGTGAAGAAAAACGTTTGAAAGAGGGGCCAGGAGTGTTGGCTTTGTGCCGGACGCCGAACATGCGGCTAAAGACCATTCTGATAACTTTCAACTGGTGTGTAAAATACAATACAAATGGTCCGTTGGATTGAAATTATACGTTGGAACAAGGAAAGTTTTTTTCTATTTCGTTTCAGGTTCGCCAACGACATGGTTTATATTGGACTGAGTTATTACGGTCCTTCGTTGGGACAAAATCAATATTTGAGTTTCCTGCTGTCGTCTGTCGTAGAAGTGCCTAGTTGTCTGGTATGTTGGCTGCTCATGGACCGGTGGGGTCGACGGTGGCCCCTGTGCCTAGCGATGACATTGAGCGGCATCAGTTGTATCGTTACCGTCACCTTACCCCCAGGTAAACTGCACGGATATAAAATTGTATATGAGTGTAAAATATTATAACGTAGGTGCATATTATCTATGTGTTTTTTTTCCATAAATAGTTTATGTGTTCATTTAGAGAKTTTCATCCCGCGATAGTACATCGCAAGYAGTGTACCTAACTATTATAAAATATGTTGAGAATATTTTCATTACCTTGGAACTATGTTATGTTCAATTGTATACGAAYAGGAGATTCGAGTACACATTTTTTTTTAATTTAGCATTTTAAATAACAATATTGTTTTTTTATTTTTTTTTTTATTTACCTCAGTAGCTCTTATTGTTCTTTTTTGAAATAAATCGAATAAAACATTGTAAAAAAAAAAAAAATTAAAATAACAAAATACATTTGCATGACTATTAAGGGGTTCGTATTTCTTCTCAAAGTGTCACAATTTTTTATACGTCTTATGTACATTTCATGATAAACAATAATTATACTCTTTAGCAGAGTTGGAAAGCTAAAATTCAAGAATTGGTGAAATATATTTAATAATGTATAAACTATTATAACCTTATAAAATTKAATTTAAAAAAAAGATGGGAGATTGAAATGCAATTGCTCTACTGTACAGAAGATGTCACCTAATTTTATTCTTAAAAAATTGAATTGTATAATTTAATTTAAAAAAAAAAAAATATGTAAATAATATCTATTATAATAAAATGTATACTAATGACTTTAGATGTCGATGTATTAAATGATCAATAAAAAAAAAGAAGATGTCGACTAATCGAGTGTACCTTGTTTTTGACTAAATAATAGGATATCCTCAATAATAATTAYGACATCAAAAAAACGATTCTGAGTATAGACTGTCGCCATTTTATGATATATTTAGGTTGCAATTAAAATAATTTATTTTACTACTAGGAAATGGTAATGCCATCACGGGTTGAATTTATTTTTGTCATTAATATCGTATGTATTTTACTGTCAATTATTATGATAGTAAGTATAGTATATAATATGTTGTATCATAATTATATTACTATTATTTACCTAAGATCTACCTACTAGATAATATTAAYCGTTTTTAAATAACATGTCAAAAAATTAAATGCATTTTATTTTTTATTATTYTGGTTGTGTTCATACATCATACGTCTATAAGAGTGTACGCTTTGCGATGGTYGTCATTACATAATAGTCTTTAAATTAAAAAATAAAATAGTAATTTTAAGTTTTAGCATCGAAACGTTAAAACAATGCGACACAGTATCGAGAATTGCTATTACGGTTGCCAACTTTTTTGTTAGCTAGAGTGCACTGCATATCTTAATCCTTCACTAATAATGCTCCTGTTGAATATTGTTGTATATTATTGATAAACGTAATTTTAAAACAAAAAAAGCTCCTTTTAAGCTATTARTAAACGATCAATTTGATTTTAATTTATGAATTACGTGTGTGTATATTATTCGATAAAATGTTTTATATATATTATTATTTGTTTTTTGTGACTCTTAAGACTTGTTACTCCTATGCATTTTTCTRATTACTTAATCGATTGAATTTTATTTCAGATGCTGTGATAACTACGTTGGTCTTATTTTTGTTTTCAAAGTTTACGATATCGGCTTCGTTTTTAATAATCTATCCATTTGCCGGTGAACTTTATCCGACACAATTGCGTGGCGTTGGTATTGGAACCTCTGCGTACATTGCTGGTCTTGGTTTGGTTTTAATACCATTTATTAATTATTTGGTAAGTATATGATAGAATGTAATCTACAGAGACTGAGRAGTCCTAGTGGACTATAACGATTGTACCTTACAACACAATTTTAAAAATCAGATATTGGAGAATCGTATCACAAAATTGTACAAAAATGTGTATTCTTTTTTTGATTATCATTTATTGCCAATTAGTTTGGTAGAATTTAGAATTAATTTAATTTTTATATTTTATTCGGGCCATTTCGTGGATCTAATCATTGTGAAGGTAATTAAAAGTTCAGTTATTATTTTATTTTTAAATGCTAGAGTATGGTAATACAGTGCAACTTTATATATTATTATGACGTGGGTACCTAATTTTATTCTACGTAACAAGAACCAGCAAAGTTGTATACACAATATAAGAAGTAACAACAATAATTTAATGTATGTGCAAAATATTGATTTGATTATGTAAAGCATTAAAATTCAAATTGAAAATAACAATATTTTAAAAGGCTCATTAATTTTCTAAACATAGGACTTACCTTATATTATATAGATAATAGGAGGTACAATGAATAATGATAAATAATTTCTGAGTTAAAATTTTATAAAAATGTCCAAATTATTAATTTTCCATTTTGAATATAAATTATGGGGAAAACATAATGCTTGTCATATAACTATTTTCATTTCATTTTATAGCAATAACTAAGTAGCTACAAACAACCAAACACTACAAACCATATGTATGTTTATTACATGCATCTATATAATGAGACACTCTAATGTCCTATGTAGTTCTATTAATTGGCTTAATATATTTGTCTTCAATTTTGTTTAAGATTTAAATTTAAAGTATAAACTTTCAAAATATTAGTACCACATTTAAAGATCAGATGAAGCTAGTGTTTAAATTCTTAAAATATAAGGGGCATGCAAAGTTATGAACAATTTTTGTACCTGAAGAATGAAATTCTATATTGATTATGATATATTAAGAAAGGTATTTCACCGCATTCCTCCCGAAACCCTTACCACATCCTATCCAAGGMACTAGATATAGTATACGTTGAAATTATATAAACATTAATATTATTTTAATTTTTTTAAACATAAAATATGTTAAACAGTTTATTGTATTGTCATTGACTGAATATTTGCATGGGAAGGTGTTAAATTTAATATGAAATAACGAACCGTCAATTTGTATCCGGTTTGTATCGAATAGCCTCATATCATGTTATACGATATACGCGCATTTAGATKTTTTATGTAATATAAATCATAACACGACGATTTATATTTCTTTAACTACATACGACGTACACTGTCTAACTTTAATATGTGTGCCAGAACGACGAGCATCAATTTTCAAAATAAAATTTCGACACTACAAATAAACATTCGAGTTGTACCTATATAAATATGATATTTGATAAACATTAATGAAATGTTAGTTTATTTTTTTAATTGGCTTCATTGATTTAAAGAACAATAATAAACAACTATAGCAATAATGAAGAGAGGTCAAAAACCTATACTGAAACGCGACATGCCTCGTAAAAAATAAACAATAGTAATATTGTCAATTTGGATTATTCTACTCGTAAGACAAATAAACACAACAACGTAAAAGAAAAAAAAAATATAAGTGTACCTCAAAATATCGATTTTTTCACAACTTATTCAACTGACAAGAGTGGAATTTTTTTATAATATTTGATTCAAATATTTCAAAATATTTCTTTATAAATATACTTACAATTTTAGTACCTTTTATCACAGTTTTTCTCAAGATTTACTTTGATATAATTTCCAATCATTTTTGGAATGAACTTTGTGAATTATATTCCGTCAATCAAATCTATGAACAAATTTAAAAAAATCTCTATTTTATACACTCAAAATTCATAAATACGTATTGTTTAAGTCAAATTTTTACTGTAGGTATATACGAGTAGAGAAGGATTTACACTGTATTTGTCGTTTGTGGACAACTTTTTTTTATATAATGATAGAGAATTATTTGACTACAATATTATATTCTGGTGACTGATAATCAAAGAAAGTAGTTCTCTCTTTTTTCTTCGCTTTAAATATAGATTAAACGACTTACACAACGATTTTATACTTTTAATAAAAATAAATGTATAAATAAATGTTGAATTATTCCTATTGTATCAAGATACGGATTTGGAAACAATTAGTTTTTGTTAATGAATACAATTTAAGTTAAATTATACGTRATTAATTCGTAAATTGCTCAATTGCAGGGACGTGAAAATTTAGTTTTGCCGCTGTTAATTATGGGTATACTATCGGTGATTGGTGGGATTACTGGTCTCCGTCTTCCAGAGACATTACATTATAAGTTACCGCAGTCGGTCGAAGAGGGAGAAGAATTCGGAAAGAACTGGACTATGGCGGATTGTATAACCTGTGTTCCCAAAAGGTGAATTCTAATAAGCTAAAATTTTACGTTACAGCTGTATCCTTATCCTATTATATTAAACTCTTCAAACCACCATTCATCATTTCGGAAAAATGGTGGGTATAAAGTTCAAACATCTTGAATATTCGTTTAAACTCAATAATAACTACCAATACTAACTACTCCAAAAAGCATTTAACACAAGGACAATATTCTTTTCTTTTTCATATTAAATTTGAAGCAAAATTTTTGATAATAATCATGTTTACCAGGCATGTCAAATTCCAAGTATCAAGTAGACYAAATATATTGAAAAGCTTACTGTGCGTGGCGTATATAAAAATTTAAMAAAAACATTTTTTTGAAATTCTTATTCGATTAGTTTATCAGAAAATAAGATGGAAATGAGGTTTGACATG